GTGGAAGGATCACTGGAGCCCAGCAGGTCAGTGCTGTGGTGGCCATGAGCATGCCACTGCACTCCAGCCTGGGTGACAGAGTAAGACTCCAACTCAAAACAAAACAAAACAAAAAAACACAGCACTGGCTTCCATCAGAATGAGCAAACGAGAAAGCAAGCAAAACAGAAGTCAGCATTTTTTGTGTAACCTACTCTCAGAAATGACGTTCCATCAAGTTGTCATATTCTAGTCATTAGGAGTGAGTTATTAGGCCAGACCCACATTCAAATGGAAGGGATTACAAAAGAGGATGGGCATCATTGGGAGCTATTATAGAGGAAGCCTATCATAGAAGCCAATGCTGAGGAAAATAGAGGCAAGACATGATAGAGTCCCATTAACTTCATTTCAGTCCTTGACTCTAGCCATTAGGTTTTGTCCCCCACAATATTCTAAAATGTGTGAAAGTGGCTGCCCAAAATTTAGGGGGAGCAATTGATCTCCATTTGCCCAGAACTTTCCTGGTTTTAGCACTAAAAGTCCTATGTCCTGGGAAACTCCTCTATCCCTCTATCCCGGTGAACTGGGACAGTTGTCATTCTACAGAGTAGTTAATTTGATGACCAAAATAAAAACCAATGACTGGACATGGTCGCTCACTCCTGTAGTCTCAGCACTTTGGGAGGTGGAGGCAAGAGGATTGCCTGAGCCCAGGGGTTCAAGACCAGCCTGGACAACTTGGCGAGACCTCTTCTCTACAATACATTAAAAATTTAGCCGGGCGCAATAGCGCATGCCTGTAGTTCTAGCTACTTAGAAGGCCGAGGCAGAATGATTGCCAGAGCCCAGCAGGTTGATGCTTGGGTGAACATGAGCATGCACTTGTCATCATTATAAGTATTTTGGAGTTTTCAGTCAACTGTAACTTTTTTTTTTTTTGAGTTGGAGTCTCACTCAGTCGTCCAGACTGGAGTGCAGTGGCCGCTCCCGGCCACCACAGCCTCGACCTGCTGGGCTCCGGCGATCCTTCCACCTCAGCTTTCCAAGTAGCTGGAACTACAGGCGCATGCTACCATGCCCAGCTAATTTTTTGATTTATTGTAGAGATGAGGTCTCTCCAAGTTGCCCAGGTGGGTCACAAACCCGCCCGGTCTCAGGCAATCCACTCACCTCAGCCTGCCAAAGGCGCGGGATTACAGGCTGAGCCACCGAGCCCAGCTCAGCTTGATATTTAAATGTTGTAGCTATGTGCCAGGGCTGTGGAGGTCAATCTAATTTTCTTAGGACAGAGCTACTCAGAAAATTAATGCTTAGGTTTTCACAAAGTCCTTGGGCATGTTCGATGAAAAGCCAGTCAAAACTATTTATAAAATAGCATTTAAAGTCTCTTTTGTTTAGATATGACCATTCTAAACTGTCTTGGCACCCTTTTTTTGAAAAATTCAGACCTTGTAACATATGATAAATGGTTGCCAAAAATAAGCTTTGGACCCTGTTCCAAGGCGTTGACCTTGGACAGAACTTTGAGGAGGTACTTGTTCATTCAGTTTCTAGCATAGTAACCTCCCCTTTCAGTCACTACAGAATTCAGAACTCTTCTGGTTGTGACAAGAGTCAAATGAGGTTTGGCAAACAGGAGGATTTGTTGACTCAAGGAATGGTCAACAAGACATAGAAAGGAACACCAGAATCAGGGACCTGAAATATACTATGGCTTTCTAGGTATCTTGTCTCTTTCCATCTATTTCACCCTCTCTCCTACTAGGTTTTCCACAAGACTGGAAACACTGCAGCCCACAACGCCTCTCACATCCTTTCATTTTCTACAACCAGAAGACTGCCAACTAGTCTCTCTGGTCCCAAGTTTAAAATCCCAGAAAAGGCTGGGCACGGTGGCTCATACCTATAATCCCAGCACTTCAAGAGGCCAAGGTGAGAGGATTGCCTGAGCCCGTGGGTTCGAGACCTGCCTGGGCAACTTGGCGAGACCTCATCTCTGCAATAAATCACAAAATTATCCGGGCATGATGGCACATCCCTGTAGTTCCAGCTACTTGGAAGGCTGAGGCAGAAGGATCACCTGAGCCCAGCAGGTTGAGACTGCAGTGGCCGTGAGCATGCCACGGTACTCCAGCCTGGGTGACAGAGTGAGACTCCAATTCAAAATAATAATAAAATCCCAGGAAAGGTCTCTCATTGGCTCAGGTGACTGTCCTTGGATCAATCACGTGCCCAGTGGCATAGGACAAGTAGGAAGTATGGTGGCTTCCTGAGAACCATCTGGTTGGAGCAGGATAAGAAGCAATTCCCAGAAGAGATACTAAGCAACAGAACAAGGCATTGTGACAACCCTAAACTTAGAAACTGCACAAAGATTTTACAGTAAAGATCTCATGTAAATCTATAAGATGACCGCAGCTTTTAAAACCACAGCCAGAAAAGCACATTGGAGGCCAATTAAGTCCCCGATAAAGTGGCAACTATAGTCTTTTCTATGGGTGAATTGGCTACAAATTAATGAATTGGCTACTCATTCCGATAGCTCATCTCTCCTTACTAAAGAGCCTTAACTATTCAAGGTCCTCCTGTACCTCATCTGTTCCCAAACTCCAGTGTGCATTAGAATCAACTGGGAGTTAGCAAAGCATGTACTTCCCCAAGCTCACATCTGAGATTGCAATCCAATGGTCTAGGGTAGAGTCAAGGAATCTGAGGTTTTATAAGGCTCCCAGGTGATGCTGATGAAGGTGGTCCATGGACCATACTGAGAAACCACACCAGACTACCTGTCCACAGATCATAAAACACATAAGGCCGGTTGAGTGGATTGCCTGAGCCCATGGGTTCGAGACCAGCCCAGGCAACTTGACAAGACCTCATTTCTACAATAAAATAATCAAAAAATTAGCTGAGTGTGATAGCGCATGCCAGCAGTTCCAGCTACTTGGAATGCTGAGGTGGAAGGATCACCAGAGCCCAGCAAGTTGATGCTGGGGTGGCCGTGAGTGTGCTCCAGCCTGTGTACTCCAGCCTGGGCGATAGACTCCAACTCAAAAAATAATAAAATAAAAATTAAAAAACACGTAGCACACTTCTTTGTGCCTGAGAAATAACACCAGAGAGACCATGCAACTGGCCCCAAACCCAAAAGGGAACTCGGATGCTCACTCAGTTCCTTGATGTCTTGAGTGTGACATCTAGACCCCTGCCCCTGATCCCAGCCTTCCCAAGGGAAAAGAATAACAGCAGCAACATTCTCATTTTTATAAGCACTTGGTTTTATTGCACAGAAGCAATTGAAAGTGAACTCCAGTGGAAAGTGCGCCCTGGCATGATTCAGTGGCCAGCGCCTAGCCCCACCTGCTGAGCTTTTTCAGAATAGAGAGCTCTGGGCAAGGGCCTGACCACTCCTTTGGAAAACAGAAGGCATTTGGGAATAGGTTAAGACATCTCAAGCATAATGTGTTTCTAACTGCTCATTCATTATTGCGGTCATCTGTCAGTTGCACATAGAGGAAATAAATGCACTTATTTGGAAAGGAGGGGGCAGTTTTTATAGTCAAGTGTTTACGTGTGGCATTCGGCATTATCACATTCAGCTACATAAGCTATCATAACATAATTGTCCATCGCCTGGGGAGGGTTTGGCAGGGGGTGGGAGTGTTCTCTCTTGCTAACATATTGCTAACATAAATTCCTGTTTGGTGGAGGGCCCGCCATCTAAGCAGTTTCTTCTCCATAAAAGAGAGAAAACATAAAAATTCATTATAACGATCCTTGAGCTCCAGGACCCTCCTAAGTTTCTTTGGCTGCTCCACATGTTCCTTTTCCCCTACTCTTTATTTATCCCCTTTGGCGGCCTTGTCTTCTATGGCCTTCTCTGGAGGCCTGCTGTCTTTTTGGTCTGTGCTAGAGGATTTTTCAGCCTTTTCCGTCTTGGGTTTGCTGGGCGTGGGGGCCTCCTTGCTGGGCTCTTTTGAGATGGTCTTGTCATCCTCCTTGGCTTTGGCCTCTGTTTTGGGTTTCTCCTCAGGCTTCTTGGCCTCAGTGGCCTTCTCCTCCTTGGTGTCTTTTTTCTCCAGTGCTGCTGGGGCCTCCTCCTTTTTTGGTTTTTCTGGCTCCTTCTCTGCTGGTTTGCTGGGTTCTTTGGCCTTGGCAGCATCTGGCTCCTTCTTGGCCACCTCAGTCTTCTCTTTGGGTTTAGCTTCTTCTTTTACCTCCACCTTGGCAGGAGTCTCCTTCTCCGGGGTCACCACTTTTTTCTTATCTTCAGCCTCTTCCTTCTTGGCTTCACCTTTGGATTCCTTGGGCTTTTCTACAGCAGATTCCTTCTTCTCCTCAACCTCGGGCTTTGGAGCCTCCTTCTTGGACAACTCATCTTTCTTGCTGTCTTTCTTTTCCTCAGTTTTTGGCATGGCTGGAGCTTTCTCTTCCTCTACCTTCTTTGGGGGTTCTCTGGCTTTCACCTCCTGGGGCTTCTCCTCCTCCTTCACTGGGGACTTCACTTCTTCCTTCTTTGGGGTCTCCTTCTCAGGAGCCTTGGCATCCTCCTTCTCAGGAGATTTGACCTTTTCTGGGGACTTGACCTCCTCCTTTACAGGGCTTTTTGCCTTTTCGGGAGATTTCATATCTGCTGGGGACCTTGCTTCCTCCTTCACTGGAGTCTTAGCTTCTGGAGACTTCACATCAAGAGTCTTGGCCTTTTCAGGGGACTTTGCTTCTTCCTTCACTGGAGACTTGGCCTTCTCTGGGGACTTGACCTCTGCTGGGGACTTTGCTTCCTCCTTTACTGGAGTTTTGGCCTTCTCAGGGGATTTCACCTCAGCTGGAGACTTGGCCTCTTCCTTCACAGGTGATTTGGCCTTCTCAGGGGACTTGACCTCAGCAGGAGATTTTGCTTCTTCCTTCATGGGGGACTTGGTCTTCTCTAGAAACTCGACATCAGTTGGAGATTTTGTTTCCTCTTTTGCTGGAGACTTGACCTTCTCAGGAGATTTGACCTCAGCTGGAGATTTTATCTCTTCCTTCATTGGGGATTTGACTTCAGCTGGTGACTTGGCCTCTTCCTTCACTGGGGACTTGGCCTTCTCAGGGGACTTGACCTCAGCTGATGATTTTGCTTCATCCTTCATGGGGGACTTGGCTTTCTCTGGAGACTTGACCTCAGCTGGCGACTTGGCCTCTTCTTTCACAGGAGACTTGGCTTCCTTCTCTGGGGATTCAGCCTTTTCTGCCAGAGGAGGCTTTGTTTCTTCCTCTCCTTCTTCTGCTTCCTCCTCTTCTCCCCCTTCCTCCTCCTTGCCCTCCTTCTCCTCTTCTTCAGTCACTTCTTCAGTCACTTGGATCTCCTCTGTCTGTTCCTCCACAATCACGGTTTCCTTCTCTGACTTTTCTACCACCTTGATCTTCTCCTCGCTTTTGACTTTTATGTGGGTGGACGTGGAGGGGATTTTGGGGAGTCCTTCTGGAAGGGAGAAAGGAATTGGTCCAAAGCCAATCCGACACTCTTCACCTTCCAGGAGTTTTCTGCAGAATGGAACACAACAGTATTAACTCAGAGTGGATTCATTGTTTGGGGTCTCCCTAGATCATTCTGAAAGTCAGTAACATCCAATGATATGGACTTTGACGGAGAAAGGCATGTGAATGGTAAGCATTATGAGATTGGAGAAGGTCACTTAGCAAATCATCCTAGTGACCACCCAGAGTGTATACCCCAATGGGGTTGGTCTTGTTTAATGTAGCTGAAGCTGCAACTTTTGAAATAAAACAGCTTTTCTTTCCCTTGAAAAAAATGGCCCCCAAGAGAGCCTCCTATATTAACAAAAGTTACATTTATTGTCCTTCAACTAAAATGTCATTCGAGAGGAATCTGGGAGCCTGAGCAAACAATTCAACTTTATAAATTTAGGTTTAAGAGGTCTTTGGCTGGGTGCAGTGGCTCATGCCTGTAATCCCAGCACTTTGGGAGGCGAAGACGAGAGGACTGCCAGAGCCCAGGAGTTCAAGATCAGCCTGGGCAACTTGGCGAGACCTTGTCTCTACAATAAATCAAAAAATTAGCCGGGCATGGTGGTGTGTGCCTGTAGTTCCAGCTACTTGGAAGGCTGAGGCAGAAGGATCATCTGAGTCCAGCAGGTTGAGGCTGTGGTGACCACGAGTATGCCACTGTACTCCAGCCTGGATGACAGAGACTTCAACTCAAAAAAATAAAATAAAATAGAATAATAAAAAAGAGATCTTCAAATGTTCCCATTTAAATTTCAAGAGAACCCTATTACTTCATATTGCTATCCTTTGGGTTTTAGGAATAGGGTGGTAGTGGCAGGTTTTTTTGGCTTTGCTCCTCACTAGATGGGTGACCTTGACCAAACCACTCAAACTCTTCTTCTTCTTCTTCTTCTTCTAATTTAGAGAAAGGTCTGGCTCTGTCACCCCGGCTGGAATGCAGTGGTACAATCATAACTCACTGTATCCTTGAACTCCTGAGCTCAAGAGATCTTCTCACCTCAGCCTCCTTTGTAGGTAGGACTAAGGTGTGAGCCACTGCACCTGGCCTCGAACCCCTTTTATTTTTTTTTTTGGTGTAGTCTTACTCTGTCACTCAGGCTGGAGTGCAGTGGCATGCTCACAGCCATTGCAGCCTTGACTTGCTGGGCTCAGATAATCCTTCCACCTCAGCCTTCCAAATAGCTGAAACTACAGGCATGTGCCACCACACCTGGCTAATTTTTTGATTTATTGTAAGACAAGATCTCGCCAAGTTGCCCAGGCTGGTCTCAAACTCAGGCAATCCTCTCGCCGCGGACTCCCAAAGTGCTGAGATTACAGACTTGAGCCACTATGCCCGGCCAGCCTTAAATTCTTTAAGCCTCAATTTCCTCGTTGGCAAAAGAGGGCCTTAAGAGTCTCTACCTCAGAGGATTGTTTCAGTGACATAATGAATAAAAAGGATTTGGCAGAGCGTCAGTCTCAGAGCAAGTGTAGAGGTCATCCCATAGACCAATGCTTCCCAAATTTAACATCATCCAAATCATCTGGGGATCTTCTTAAGATGCAGACCCTAATTCAGCAAGGTCTGCCTTTCTGATACGTTTTTGGATGATACCAATTCTACTGGTTCATGTGTCTTGCTTTGAGTAGCAAGAGAGCCAAGCAGTGGAAAGCCAAGAAACTGGGACAGGTCTTCATGGGGTCAGTCCTGCTCCCTAGAGAGGGCTTATTACTGGTTCTGGTATTCTCATGATGACCATTTACTTAGGGCTTCATTTGTGGCAGTCCAGTGGCATCTATGTTAGCTGGATTAGCTCAGGAACAGAACTGGCTCATCCTCCTAACAACCCTCTGATGTGGGTACTCTTTTTTTTTTTTCTAGTCAGAGTCTCACTCTGTTACCTAGGCTGGAGTGCAGTGGCACACTCATGGCCACTGCAGCCTCGATCTGCTGGGCTCCGGTGATCCTTCCACCTCAGTCTTCCAAGTAGCTGTAATTACAGGCATACACCACCACGCCCAGCTAACTTCTTGATTTACTGTAGAGACAAGGTCTTACCATGTTGCCCAGGCTGGTCTTGAACCCGTGGGCTTAGGCAGTTCTCTCACCTCTGCCTCCCAAATTGCTGGGATTACAAGCATGAGGCACCACGCCTGGCTTGGGTACTCTTATTATCATCTCCATTTTATTTCCCCAGGAAACAAATGCTCAGAGAGCTAAGAGACTCTAAAGGACAGAGTTATAAAAGGCCCCTGACAACACAAGCACCTCTTTTCCCTTGAAAGCAGGCCTCTGGCTGGCTAGATTTAGGGAGGAGATGAGAGTTTTAACCCTCTAAGCCATTGTCAGAATGAAAGTAAGTCACTCTCAAGATTTTTGTCTCTCAGAAAGTAGAATGGGGCTTGGCATGGTGGCTCAAATCTGTAATCCCATGCTCTGAGAGGCTGAAGTGGGAAGATCGCTTGAGGCGAGGAATTCGAGATCAGCCTGGGCAACAGAACAAGACCTTGGCTCTATAAAAAAACTTTTCAAAGTTAGACAGGGATGGTGGAGGTTGCCTGTAGTACTAGATACTCGGGAGGCTGAGGCGAGATAGTCAATTGAGTACAGGAGTTTGAGGCTGCAGTGAGCCATGACTGCACTCCAGCCGGGGCAACAAAGTGAGACTCTGTCTCTGAGGGGGAAAAAAAAGGGCTAGGGAGGGATAAATAAATAATAAAAAGAAAGTAGAATGATGGCTGCCAGCAGCTGAGGGAAGGAGAAAATGGGAGTTTCTGTTTAATGGGTACAGAGTCTCAGTTTGGGATGAAGAAGACAATTTTAGAGATAGATGGTAGTGATGGCTACACAACAGTGTAAATGTAGGTAATACCACTGAACTGTATACTTAAAATAGTTAAATGATAAATTTTATGTTATGTATATTTTATCACAATTTACAAAAGACTGTCCCTAAGACAAGCAGGCTGTTTAAATGAGAGCTTGAAATCCAAGGCTCTGTGCCTCCTAAGAACATAAGGACCCTCCACCATGCGAGGTTCCCTGTCCCACCTCACCTGTAAGCAGCTATCTCAATGTCCAGAGCCATCTTGACATTGAGCAGGTCCTGGTATTCTCGGAGCTGGGCTGCCATCTCCCACTTGGTGTTCCTCAGCTCAACGTCCAGCTGCTGAATGGCTTCCTGGGGACAAGAGGTCACATGGGTCACATGCCAGCCAGCACCTGGCCCTCAGCACAAGGGGTGGTGGAATCTGCTGTGCAAACCTTGGGGCCAACCCCTACCCTGTTAGAGATTCAGGGTCCTCATTCATGCACATGGAAAAAAAAAAATCAAGCAAAAATCCTGCTGTGTATATTACTCTGGAACGAAATACATCAGCTATCAATAGTGGTTATCACTGGTCTGACTGATGGGATGGTGGGAGAACTTTTACCGAGTCCTTTTACTCTTGAGTTTAGAAAGCACTCAGCAGGAACAGGGCCTCATCTGCTTGTGTTCCCCAGGGTTTCCCCAGTGCCTCAACCTGCCCACCACATAGTCAGAGCTTGGTAAGCATCTGTTGTTGATGACCGAGATAAAACACAGAAACATGTTAAATATGAGTTGAAACTTCTCCTTCAACCCCCAGACCCACTGTAGCCACTGCTGAAGGTGAACTTTTCTTTTTTTTGAGTTGGAGTCTCACTCTGTTGCCCAGACTGGAGTGCAGTGGCCGCTCCCAGCCACCGCAACCTCGACCTGCTGGGCTCTGGCAATCCTTCCGCCTCAGCCTTCCAAGTAGCTGGAACTACAGGCGCGTGCTACCATGCCCGGCTAGTTTTTTATTTATTGTAGAGATGAGGTCTCGCCAAGTTGCCCAGGCGGGTCTTGAACCCGCGGGCTCTGGCAATCCACTCATCTCAGCCTCCCAAAGTGCTGGGATTACAGGCTGAGCCACCGAGCCCGGCTGAAGGTGAACTTTTTTTTTTGAGTTGGAGTCTCACTCTGTCACCCAGACTGGAGTGCAGTGGCCACTCCCAGCCACCGCAGCCTCGACCTGCTGGGCTCCGGCGATCCTTCCGCCTCAGCCTTCCAAGTAGCTGGAACTACAGGTGCGCGCTACCACACCCGGCTAATTTTTTTGATTTATTGTAGAGATGAGGTCTTGCCAAGTTGCCCAGGCGGGTCTCAAACCCACGGACTCAGGCAATCCACTCACCTCAACCTCCCAAATTGCGGGATTACAGACTGAGCCACTGAGTCCGGCCGGTATTAACATTTTGAGGGCAAAAAGTAATTTCAACTTTTTTTTTTTTTTTTGAGTTGGTCTCACTCTGTCACCCAGACTGGAGTGCAGTGGCACGCTCCCAGCCCCCACAGCCTCGACCTGCCAGACTCTGGCGATCCTTCCACCTCAGCCTTCCAAGTAGCTGGAACTACAGGCACTTGCTACCATGCCCGGCTAATTTGGGATTTATTGTAGAGATGAGGTCTTGCCAAGTTGCCCGGGTGGGTCTTGAAACCGTGGACTCAGGCAATCCACTCGCCTCGGTTACCCAAAGTCCTGGGATTACAGGCTGAGAGCCACCAAGCCCAGCCTAAAGTGAACTATTATGGTTAATTTTCTCCTTTTGCTTCCTCTATTTTCTAATCCCCTGGCTACCCACAGACACTGGTGCTGTTTACAGAATGCCCACTGTAACCAAGGTGCTTCTGAGCTTATTCATACTCCTCTCATTTAAAGTCTGATTATCCCTTTAACCTTTATAGTTCTGCAAAACAGGAATTCTTTTTCGTTTTGTTTTTATTTTTTTGAGTTGGAGTCTCACTCCATTGCCCAGGCTGGAAGGCAGTGGCACATTCACGGTCATCTCAGCATCGACATGGTGGGCTCCCGCGATTCTTCAGCCTCAGTCTTCCAAGTAGCCGGAACTACAGACGAGCATTTGCATAGTCAGCTAATTTTTGATTTATTGTAGAGATGAGATCTTGCCAAGTTGCCCAGGTTGGTCTCAAACCCGTGGGTTCAGGCAATCCACTCCCCTTGGCCTCCCAAAGTGCTGGAATTACAGGCTAAGCCACTGAGCCCAGTCTTGTTTTGTTTTTCATTGCAGGAAAGGAATTCAGATTCAGAGAGGCAAATAACTTTCCTGGGATCAGAAAGCTAAAAAGTGCTGGTATTTCTAACACCAGGACCCATGGTCTTAACCACAACCCCACTCAGAGATGTGCAGTAACTTGTCCAGAGTCACCTGACCATGTGAGACAGGCTGGCTCTCTGCCCTGCCCCTACCCACCTGATAGGACGTAATGTCGGCCTGATGACGGTCCTCCAGCTCAGAGCGCTGCCTCTCCAGCGAGTCCTTGGTGCTTTTCAGTGCTTCCAGCTCTGTGGTCCTGGCCTGCAGCTGACGTCGGTACTCAGTTATTTCCTCCTGTGCTGAGCGCATGGCATCTGTGTTCACCTTGGCTGCTTCTGACAGTCGATCCAGCCTCACTGGGGGAGAAGGAGCAGGGCACAAGGTTAGACACACCTGGATTTGGGTCCCAGTGCCCAGATCCAGAAAGTGACACACATGGGTTGAAGACCTGCTGGGTGCTAGGCACCATGCTGGCTGCTTAACTCACTGGATCTGGTGAGACAGGCAAGTGGCTACGGCCCTGGGTCATGCAGCCTGAGTGGCAGAGCTGGATTCAGTTCTAGTATCTATCTAGCTCCAAAGATCAGACTGTCTTCCTCAACTGGAATCCCTAAATCTTATAGGGATGACATTTCTGGTGGTCCTAATGACTGGCAACTCCCCAGCATGGGCCTGGAAGTGCTGGGGCTTCAGAAGTGAGAGCTGGCTCATGGGGCTTAACTCTGAGCTGGACACTAGAGGCTGAGGCTGAACAAGTTAATGAGCCTCTGACCTCTGGAGGCTTGAGATTTCTGTGAGCAATCAGGTCACCAAGTAGCCATGATCCCTTCTTTGCAGGTCTCCGCACAGAGTCCAAGGTCATTGCAGAGCCCAAGGTGTTGGTGCCAGCCCCTCTGTCATTTCTTCCACCTAGCTGGGAATCCTCTCTCTCTCTTTTTTTTTTTTTAAGGATGGGTGTCTGGTCTTACTCTTGCTCAGGCTGGTCTCAAACTCCAGGCCTCAAGCAATCTTCCCACCTCAGCCTCCCGAGTAGCTGGGATTACAGGCAAGAACTACTGCACTTGCATGCTGCATATTCTATAGCACAGAAACCCCTGAGCCAACGGTAGCCTGAGCCTGGCCCCTGCCAGCAACCAGCTCCTGGTTCCCAGAAGACCTTCTGGGACCAGTGGAGGTCTAAAAACTGGTCTATATTTCCTGAAAGTGAACATCTTGAATCCCCAGATAGTGGCACCCAGGGTCTGAATCTTGGTGGGGAAGGAAGAAGGAGGGAAGCCAGTTAAGTGGGCCAGTAAAGTCCAGGAATGGTTTGTTTGGGTGAAGGGCAAACCCAAGAGAGGTTTGCTCTGGGAGGGGCCTTGCTACAGAGATGGGTGAGGGAACGGTTCTACCACTGCAAAGGGGTGGAAAAGAAACAGGAAAAGCCATGCTTTCTTGGCTTTTCCTGCTTTCACCCCAGCTTTCCTGGTTTTCCCTGCTAGTGTTAGAAACCATCCAGGTGGGTGAGAATTTTCACCTATTGTGGATTGCAGACCCGTATGAAAATCATTGAAGCCTCTGCCCTCTCTCCTAAGAACAATGCAAAGTTTTACAGACAGTTTTGGGGCTGGGTGCAGTGGCTCATGTCTATAATCTCAGCACTTTAGGAGGCTGAGGCAGGAGGACTGCTTGAGACCAGGAGTTCAACACCAGTCTAGGCAATACAGTGAGAGCTTGTCTCTAGAAAAAAATTTTAAAAATTAGCTGGGCATGGTGCTCATGCCTATAATCCTAGCTACTTGGAGGCTGAGGTGGGAGGATCATCCGAGCCCAGGAGATTGAGGTTTCAGTGAGCCGCTGCACTCCAGCCTGGACAACAGATTGAGGTTTCAGTGATCTTGCCACTGCACTCCAGCCTGGACAACAGAGTCAGACTCCAACTCAAAAAAATAAGAATAAAAAAATAATTGAAGCCCAGCCCTCTCTCCAAAACAATGCGAAGTTTTACAGATGGTTTTGAAAGAGATAATGGAACGCCTCAGATTAAGAAACCCAGTTAGTCCAGAAAAGACAATCAAAAAGACATAAAAACCAGAGATGGCAAGTGTTGTCCAAGGTCACCCTGTACCTGCTGGGCACAGCTTCAGGGCAGCTGCCATCTAGCTGACTCAGGGTTGCATGGAGTTGGGGGAGGGGATGGACTTGGGAGGCTCCCAGTGTCCCTGAAGGAGACAGGGGACATCAAAACAGTAAAGGATTGTGCTCACAACTAGGGCTAGGAAAAAAGTAAACACACACAAGAAAGAAAAAAAAACATTAAAGGGCTCACCAGCCACTCGAGCCATCAGGGTCAGCTATTGGGTGTGGTGATGGTGCTCCCTGGGAAGAAAGGATGTGAAAGTGCCCTGCCCCATCCCACACCGAAGATGAGGATATTAAGTACTGAGCAGGTAGTGGGGAGGAGCCTGGTAGGGGCCAGAAGAATGGGGTCTCCTTCAGGGTGCAACAAAGGGGGATGGGTAACATTGGCAGGGAAGGTGTGCCACTTTGAAGGGTGAAGAGTCCCCAGCTTGTGGACCAGAAGCCAGCATAGCTTAGGAGCTGCAGAAGGAGCATGTTCTGTTGTGGGGTGAGAGGTCTTGGAACGGGATCGCTTACGCTTGGGATGCAGAGGTGCGGGGCACAGTTGAAGTACAAAGAATCTTGAGGAAGGCCAGCACAGGTCAACTCGCAGCAAGAGACACAGAGTAAAACCGCTACTTCATTAAAGGCACGCACTCAGCAGAGGGAAGTTCAGCAGCACGCCCTCGCGGGTCCAGCCAACCGGACGCGGAGTGCACCGGCACCCCTCGAGTCACCCATCCCGACGCCCGCTTCGGGCTCAGCAGGGAGCGCCCCCCATCCCGCTGCCCCGCGCCCTACGCACCTCGGAACCACTCCTCGGACTGCAGGGTGCTCTGCACCGCGTGGCCTTCAAGCTGCGCGCGGATCTCGCGCAGTGCCGCCGTCACGTCGCACTTGAGGGCGTCGCGCGCCTCCACCTGCGCTTGCGCCTGCGCGGCGCCGCAGCCCTGGATCTGGCCCAGCAGCTCGCCCACCTCCTCCTGGTGGTGGCGCCGCAGGTAGCCGCA